AAACCCAAACCCAACCCCAACCCCAAACCCAAACCCGAAGGAGGTTGTTCCTACCTGCTCAATCAAAGGTGGAACCTAGCCCATTAGACGACCTACTTCTTGAGACAAAACCTAATTCTTTAAGATTGACTTATCGATCTTAAATGTCTCACCTGTCCTAAAAATAAAATTCTCTTATCCTGAAGCAATTCAAAAATTATTTTTAGAACATATATGATTATGATTCATATATGTAAATAATTTATAATCATGGTATATTGTTAAGTTAAACATTATCTGATTTAAGTTTAGGGTTCAAAACATCTTATATAATGGATTGTCATATTATTTATATTTATAAATTCAATTTATGAAAATGATGATTTATCTTTTTTACTTAAGTAAAATAATTCAGAATTTAAGTTTTTATAATTTAAATGTAAATTAATTCTTTTGGGTTTGATTAAAAATGTAAGTAATTTCTAAAATTGATTTCAATTACGTATTTTATTTGATTGATTAATCAACTAATTATAGCTTAAAAATAAGCTTGCTAAATTATCTTAATATAAAAATTTCCTCAAGTTTCTTTATCTATAATCTATTTCAATTATAAAATTATTTTCTAAAGAAAAATTACTTATCATGCTTCTTATAATTAAATTTTTAGACGTCTTTATCTGCCTAATCTAACAGAAGATAATTGTTGAAAAAATTTCATACCTGAATTCAATCATATTTTATGTCAGAATAAAATCTAAGTATTATCTTTTGAGATATTAATCATTTTTAATCCATATGTGTAATTTTGTAAACCCTCAAGGCTCTTTGATATTCTCTATGCTTCTTTTAAGGAACTTTAATATACATTAAAAGGAAACATCTCATTACCATTTTACTCTTTGAATCATCGTAAAAAAGGTAAACAAAAAAAAAAATTTTCTATTTTGTCCAAAAAGACTCCCACTACCCATAGACAAAGAAAAAAGAATTAATTTATTTGGGATATAAATAAGATGATTATTACTGAATAAGATTTTTTTTGATATTATCTAATTAAATTTCAATTATATCTTAAGCAAATTTATATTATAAATTGAAAAATTATAATTCACATATAGGTCTTATAAATTATAAAAAATCTAAAAATTAAATAAATATTATTAGATGATATCATTCTTGAATAAGTGAGGGTAAAAAGTGTTCGATTTCTTGGGAGATATTTTATTGATTCTTTTTATATTGACTCATTTTCTCATTTAATAGAAGGAACTCTCTTCTTTTAAGTGTTAAATTTTTTCTTAAACTAAAATATAAATTTTCCTTCATTA